CAAAGCTCTAACAAAGTTGGAGTTTTAAAATTATTTTAAAATAAAAAATAAAATTGAAAAAATAAAAATTGCCAATTCAAATTGGGAATTAGTTTCAACTTGAAGTTTTAAGATAAAATAAACTTCTTTATTTATGTGTGGTCCGCACTTCAGGCAAGGCTTCAGTTTTGGCCATTTTGCACACTCTCTGAACTTTTTTGAATTCTTGTCAGTGCGACCATGTTCTGTCGCCACACATATTGTGTGCGATCCGCACTTCTGCTTTAATTACTTCTAGGCTTGTACATCAGATCTGCGGCCGCAGAGAGAATTCTGCGGTCCGCACTTGCTTCTTCTGCCGCAAAAATACTTTTGCGGATCGCACTTCTGGTCTGATGCGCCCCTTCTTACCTTGTGAGTCGGAACACTCCTTTTTGAGTTGGATTTCTTCATTTGAGCCCACATTTTCAACATTCCGGCAATTTGCATACTTTCATTAGTTTTGGGAACATAAATCAATACTTTCGGACTAAAACAAAAATAAAAAGGTATTAATAAGTGGTCAAAATATGACATTATATGTATAGAAGTTTTAAATATATTTAATACATGATAATATTTATTGTAGTGTAGTTTATAAATATTTCTTAAGCTTTTTAATAATTTTATCTTTTAACGTATTATTTTAAGCTTGGACTTATAATTTTTGGATGCTCCAATAAATTTTATAGTCCATAAATGTTAGTAACTCAAATAAATCCTAAATTAAATCAAAATCAATTCAATACTAATAATAAAAAAAAGACATTCAATTCAATTGTACTATGAATGAAAATAGTATTGGATATCTATTTTTTAGTTTTTTCATAGTTTAGATAAAATGCATAACTTATTTTTCTTTTAGTGTTTAGTCATGTAAATAATAGTATTTATTAGTCGTACTTATTTTACCAACTTATTAGTAATTTTAAATTATATTTGTTTTCATTATGGCTTATTAATAATACTTATTTTATGTGATTCTCATCTTTATTGTTGAATACTTTAGTACAATGTCATGAATCATCTCATATTTATGTTATTTTATTAAAAAATACCTTATATAGTTCTGTCTTACTAGGATTAAAGAAATATTTGAAGCAAAAATTCTATGTTTTCTCCTATGAAGACTTTATGAAAAAAAAATCCGAAATAACCCGAAAACCCAAGAAAAATCGAGATTTAAAAATCCGACTTTTATCGGTTTGATTTGGTCTTTAGATTTAATAACCCGATATAATTGGTTTGATAATTAAAAAATTCGAACCAACCCGACCTATATACACACCTACTCACGAGTGCATAGTAATAGAGAAGATGAAATGTATAATAATATTCGTGACGCACTTACTCAGCCTCGTACATCTGTCCTAGCCTACCAAACTTTAGAAGAAGAAAAGAAAAAAGATTGAGGAGAAAATAATGAATCAGTTAGCTCAATAAACAAACTAAAGCGCGTGAGAGTATAGTCAAAAGATGCACGCGTAGGAAAGGCACATACAACAGACGTCATGGATATAATAAGGCTAAATGCAATCACAAAAAATTTCCATTTGGCTGCCTCAACAAATATATCTCATTTTTAATCCAATAAACCAAATAAAGCATTAGTACTAAATTACTCTATCCAAGATTATAATCACGGTATAACTCTATGTTAAACCAAACGAGTGTACCTATAACACAAAACACTAACATGGCAAAAGAGTGATTCTCACTCATATATGGGCGCGTAAATTAAGTGACATGGCTTAAAAACATCAAAACCTCCTCTTCCCTCTCTCAAACCGTGTTCTATCTCAATTTCACCCTCTATTCTCACAAAAAAGTAAACACACCCCTCCATTGCCTCAAACATCAATTATCACATTTTTCCCCAGACTTCATTCTGCAAAAAACTTATTGCTAAGATCACTGGTCATACCTACCACAGAACGATAAAAAGTTCTTGTGACAAAAGTTTTAATTCAATTTTATTGAGTATTGCAGGAAAAGCTGAATTTTCTTCTAACAAGTGGGGAACAGAAAACTTCTAAGTGAAGTAAAGACAAATTAGGACATAGTTTTCCAAATAAAATAAACGATCCGAGAGATGGAGCGACATTCCTACGAATTTTCATTTACTTAGAAGTCTTTGACTGAATGTGTGATATATGGTGCATATGTCTCATAGGCAATAGTGAGAAGCAACTTAAATCTTCGGCCTGCAGCAGTTATCTCTGTTTGAATAGCACAAATGGAGTCGCAGCAGATTGCTGAGGGTCGTTTCCGGTGTTTCATAAGAGCTTTCGGCAAGTTTTTTGTATTTGGCTTTTTTCTCTCTTTTGTTATTTGACACGTGTCATTCACTGATTGGCCCTTTTTTTAATGTCACACTAGCAAATCTCGCGTTTCATTTTTAAGATAGATAGCTCGAACCTCAAGTCACAATCGCATGCCAGCTGTGATCTTCAAGGCTAAAGACTATTATGGAGTTATGGCGGAAGAGTGCAAATTTCTTATTGTGGGACGATTCATTAAGGTGCGACCTCAAATTGAAAAAATCATATCAACCTTTGCAAAGAAGATTTCAATTAAAGGTAACTCAAAAATTGGAGTCTTTGATCTACACAATATTTTTATTGAACTCTTTAATGAGGAAGATTACAATACAGCGAGATTTAAGAGGAGAATTGAAGTTGAAGGAAAAGATATGTGGCTAACAAAATGGACTCCTGATTGGAAACCAGAAGAGGATGTCCCATATGCCCCAGTTTGGGTCTTACTTCCTAAGCTGCCTATGAACTGTCACAAATGGGAGTATATCAAGCAGATTTTAGGACCTGTTGGTACTCCGCTAGCTTTAGACACAGCTACTAGAGGCAGAACTAGGCCTAGCATGGCCAAGGTTAGAGTAGAAATTGATTTACTAAAACCCCAGCTTGATCAAGTTTGGGTTGGCTTAGAAGATGAAAACACTGGTTTGAAAGGCTTTGCTCAAAAGATAGAATATGAAGCTGTTCCAAAATACTGCAAACATTGTAGATTACTTGAATATTCTATAGCTGAGTGTAGAGTCTTGGAGAAAAAAAATCAAGCTAATAATAGCAAAGTAGATGAGGGGAAACAAGTGGCAGCTGACAATGAGCCAATTCAAAAAGAAGGTCCTAAAGACAAAGAACTTGAAAATGTGATGCAACAAGGAAGCCAAATACAATAAGTACCAAAAATAGATCAGGTTGAAGTGGCACAGGCAGAATCTTCTAAGAGGATATGTAAGGAAAAGGAAAAAAAGAAGAAGATAAGACAAATAAATGCTCTCAAAGTAGTTACGCAGAATAGGAAAGCCAAGAGCTCAAAGCAACAAGGATTGGTGGAAGGCACTTCCAAGGCACCTGGAACTAGTTCAAACCACACAAAACAAAGGACACAAGATCAGATAGTGGAGAGTGTGAACACACTCGGATCCAGTAAAAGGATGAAACAAGAAAAAGTTATTATTGTATCAAATCAGAGAAAGGGCGGTCAGGACCTCAGCATTTCTGCCCCCCTAGACCCCCCTGTTATGACCCAAAACACTTTTCAACAGTTATCCCAGGAGCAGGGCAATGAAGAGGAAGTCCCCTCCCAAAAAGAAAGGAATGCGGCGGGGAATTTGATAGAAAGGAATGTGGCCCTATCAAACAGACAAATTGTCAAAGTAAGCATTCAACAACCACACTTATCCGATGAAGAGGGAGTAGTGGCTGACAGTTTACCAATTACCTCTACTCTTGAAGGGGATAACCAAACTGATGAAACAGCGAATCAAATCAAGGAATTTATAGATAGAGGTGGACTCTCACCTAGAGGAACTCCTTTAGCAAAGAAAAGATCTTTCAAAACTTACCCTCATTCCGCTCTTGTTACTAGGGGCAGGGAAAAAACTAACAAAAAATAGCCAATCCTAAGGATTCTAATGATTAGCACAATCATATGGAATATTAGGAGTGTAGAGTCAAAAGGAACTTTTGACAGATTGATAAGACTCACGAGAAGGCACAAAGTTAGTTTTGTTGCTCTACAAGAGCCTTTCATACATAGTTCTCAATTAGACAACTACAACAGGAAACTGGGAATGCAAGGGGCTATTGCTAATCGCAATGGAAAAATATGGTATTTCTGGGATTTTAATTACACTTGCGCTGAGGTGTGCAATTACAAACAGCAGCTTACACTTTCTATTAAACACAATGCCACTCTTTAGGCTCACTGGGTGACCATTGTATATGCAAAATCTTCATCTAGAAGGAGGAAGAAGCTATGGGAGAGCCTAGAACATATTAATAACCAAATTCAAGGAATATCGTCTATATTTGATGATTTTAACTATATTATGAATTCCTCTTAAAAGGATGGAGGCAGACCTCATAGGTTGAGCAAAAGTTTTAATTTCATTAACTGTATGAATGAATGCAGTATGATGGATGCTGGTTATTCTGGTAATGATTTTACATGGACTAATAATAGAAGAAAGAGGAAAAGGATAAGAGAAAGACTAGACACAGTATTCTATAATGATGAATGGTCTATGACTTTTCCTCTTGTTAATGTTAGACACCTTCCTAGAATAGGATCTAATCATAATATGCTTCTTATGACCTGTTCAATTCAAGACACTCCCCCATTAAATATTTTAAGTTTCTGAACTTTTGGACAGAACAAAATGACTTTCAAAAAATTGTGCAAGACTCGTGGGATGAAGAGGTTACTGGCAATCCTGTGTGGATAATGCAGCAAAAACTGAAGAGATTAGCTAGTTCACTCAGTTACTGGTCTAGAAACACAATTGGTAATGTGTTTGATAAAGTCAAGGATCTAGAGGATAAAGTGGAAGCTATGGAAGCAGCTTATAGGGAAAACAATAGTGACACTAACAGAATTAACCTGAACAAACTCTATGCTGAGCAGATTACCTAGATTAAAATGCAAAATAATATTCTCAAGCAAAAAGTTAGAGTGAAATGGGAACTGGATGGTGATAGTAACACAAAGTATTTTCATAGTACTATTAGACAAAGAAGGAAGAAGTCTTACCTCCATAGAATAAAAAAATGAGGAAGGTAGTTGGATTTAGGGTAATATATAAATATCTGAAGCTGCTATTCAATATTTCAGCAACTTATTCACCCAGCCAGTGCAAAAGTCAGATTTTAGTATATTGAACAAGATTGATAATCACATCACTGAGGAGGATAACATTTTTCTCATTACTATACCAACTACTGAAGAGGTTAAGGAGGCTATCTTCTCACTAAACCTTAATAGTGCAGCAGGTCCTGATGGTTTCAATGGGTGCTTCTACCACTTATGCTGGGACATTATATCCAATGATGTGGTGAATATGGTTCAAGCATTTTTTGAAGGCCAAAGGATGTCTAGATTCTACACTAGCACATGCTTAGTACTTATTCCAAAAGTGGAGTCCCCTAGTTTCTTTTCCCAGCTCAGACTAATCAGTCTCAGTAATTTCTCCAACAATATAGTGTCTAAGATTGTCACAAATAGAATCACCTTAATGTTGCCTAAGATCATTTCAGAAAACCAAACAGGTTTCATGAAAGGAAGGCTCATAACTGAGAATATCCTCTTAACTCAGGAGATTGTTAAGGACATTGGTAAAAAAAATATTGGAGGAAATATGGTTATCAAATTGGATATGGATAAAGAATATGACAAGATTTCTTGAAAGTTTCCCTTTGCTACAATGAGAAAAATGGGTTTCTCATATGATTTCATTGATATCATTTATAGGCTAGTGGCTGATGTCTGGTACTCTATACTAATTAATGGTACTAGACAAGGTTTCTTTCACTCCACCAGAGGTTTGAGATAAGGTGATCCACTATCCCTTTCTCTATTCATCATAGCTGCCGAGGTTCTCTCGAGATCCCTTAATAGTCTATACAATAAGGAAGGATATGTGGGATTCTCAATGAACAAAAATGGCCCTCAAATTAACCATCTATGTTATGCAGATGACTTAGTCATCTTCTCCTCTGGGAATAAGAGGTCAATGAAGATGATAATGAAGAAGCTGCAACAGTATGAACAAGCCTCGGGACAAGAAATTAGTAAAGAAAAGAGTTTTTTTCTCACTCCTACGCACACTCCTCAATCTAGAAGAGATAGAATTCAGAGAGTGACTGGTTTCAAAAACCAACACTTTCCACTAAAATATTTGGGGTGCCCTATCTATTGTGGTAGAAAGAAGATCAGTTTCTTCACAGACATGGCTACTAAAATTCTCTACAAAATCCAAGGATGGGAGGGTAATCTTTTATCAGTGGGAGGAAGGGCCACTTTGATCAAACATGTTCTTCAGTCACAGTCACTACACATAATGGCTGCTATCTCCCCTCCAAAGACCATCCTCAAATAATTAGAAAGGCATTTTGCGGACTTCTTTTGGGGATACAATGATACCAAAAAAATATTTTACTGGAGTGCTTGGAACAAACTGTGTTTTCTCAGTAGTGAGGGAGGATCAAGTTTTGGGAGTTTAGTGGATATTACCAAGGCCTTTGCAGCCAAGAGGTGGTAGAGGCTGAGATCACAAGACAACCTTTGGTCTAAATTTATGCTAAGCAAATACTGTCAGAGGAGTAACCCTATGGCAAAAAAGAAGCAGCCTAGAGATTCTAGCAGTTGGAAAGAACTTATGGATATTAAGGATAAAGTTGACTCTCACATTTTGTGGAGAATACATGTAGGAGATTTATCTTTTTGGTGGGATAATTGGAGTAGGATAGGCTACCTAGCCTCCTTACTGCAAATTCATAATCCCGGTACCCTTCTGGTAGAGGATTGCATTGTCAATGAAAATTGGAACCTTGATCCCATTAGTCAACTAGTTCCAGTTACTATTTTATAACATATCAAGCATATAAAGATTGAGAATAATCAGGAGAAGGATAAAGTTATCTGGAAATCTTCTACTAATGGTTTATTTTCAGTTTCCTCGGCCTTTGAGTTACTCAGACAAAAAAGGGAGCAACAACAAATCTGGAAATAAACTTGGATCAAGCATATCCCTTTAAAGATATCTTTCTCACTTTGGAGGATTTGGATGAAGAAGATCTCACTTGATGATATTATACTCAGGTTTGGGCTTACAATTATTTCAGAATGCTCATATTGCAGACAACCTCACGCAGAAATAATTGAACATGTTTTTCACACTAGTGAAAAGGCCAAACAAATATGGTCTTTTTTCTCCATAGCTTTGGGATTCATATCAGACTCTCCCACTCTACGAATAAGATTTTTTACCTGGAACAATTTCAATTTTTCTAATTTCTATATTAGAGCTCTGAGACATTTTGCTCCGGTTTATATATGTTGGAAAATTTGGAAAGCTAGATGTGAAGCTAGATTTGGAAGAGAATTTCCTCATGTGGAAAGAATTTGTGAGAAAATTCTTTTTCATCTGAAAATCCATTTAAAGAAGATTGGTGCTCCAATTGACATAAAATGAAACTGGCATACCTTATGTAATGCTCTAGAGAGCACCAGACCTATGTTAACTATTGTACCAGTTAGTTGGAAAAAACCTCCACTTAATTGGTTAAAAGTTAATACAGATGGTAGTAGTAACTCAGCTAACTAAACTGCTGGTATTGGAGGTATTGTGAGGGATAGAAATGGAGATTTGATTATGACATTTGCTAAAAAACTCTATTTTTGCACTAACAATCAAGTTGAGGTGCAAGCAGCCCTGTTTGTAGTTAATTGGTGCAATCAACAAGCTCACAGTAATATTATTTTTGAAATGGACTCATTGCTTGTTGTAAATATTCTAACTGACATAAATGTTATTCCATGGGAATTAGCTTAATGGGTGGAGGAGATTAAACAAGGTCTACAATCCCATCATTTCAAAATTTAACACTGCTTTAGAAAAGCAAATACTGTGGCAGATGTTCTAGCAAAAACTGGGAGCAACTTATTAGATGGTACTACTGTCTTGTTGGATGAATGGAAAGACCTCCCTAAGAAGGCTAGAGGATGCTCCAAAATGGATCAAAATCAAATACCTAATTTCAGAATTAGGAAAAAGCACAAGAATGAAACTTCCTGAAGCTATGTTTTTACACATCGGTAATATGGAGTTGTGCTCCCTCTTTTTTTGGAAGCTTAACTATTTATTCCTAATTATTCCGATGCTAGAACCAACTTATTTATTTGGTGATCAATATGGGAATGACCTTATATCATGTAATTTTTTGCTAATTTTACGGTTAGGAATATCTATCGTACTTGTTGTAGAAGGAGAGGTAAGGTTTTATGTCCCCCATCTCCATGTATTCCCTTTTTGGATTCTAATATATTGGTTAGGGTCAGCCTAAACCCACCATGATGGTGAGATTAAAATAAATAAATAAATAAATAAAAGAGACCCAAGTGTTCAATAGGCACATTTGAAAGGGTGTTTAAGTGTATAATATGTAAGGATTAGTTGAAATGCCAAATGAAAAATTGGTGTCAAACCTTAAGTGGCTGTTTATATATTTGCCCATATAATAATCACCAGTTAATTTTTCAAGTTTTCTTTATTCTTTAAATCTCAATTTTTTCCTAAAAAATCATTTCGTGCATATTTGCCTCAAAATTTTAAATAATTCAAAATTGACCGCATGAAAAAACTAATTTCTCTTTTTCTTCTACAAAATTTGTATGGAAAGTTACATTTTTTGCAATTTAGATAAATATAAGGATATTCGATTATCTCGAAGATTCTAACTTGTATCTTGGAGTGGTTGATCATTCTTCTTTTACACTAAAATATATAAGACATAAAATAATATGTGAAAATTTAGTTTGAATTTTCTTTTTAAAAAAAATAAGGTGAGTTGGAGATTAGAGACTTTATAAAATTTTGGCTTTCTTATGCTAGATTCTGCATAATTTAAAGGGAGCAATTTAGTAGAGAAAACTATAGCTATACCACGAGAAAGCAATTAACTATTCTAGGATTCTTTTTTATTTTCTTAAATGAAAAGAGATTTTATCATAAGTAGGAAAAATCCTGTAATTAAAACCAAACTAGTTTAGCACATATTTCCTGAATCCATGACTTATTTGCAATATCTAGTTTAGCACATATTTAGGGATGAGATAATTCAGGAAGTAACAATCGGAATCCTTGTACCATCTACCTTTTGCCAAAATTAGTTAATTAACTATTCGATGAGTGCAAAGAAAATTTTAAAAATTTTGGAAAATTATAAAAGGGGAAGGAGTCAAATTCATGTTATACAAGGTACTCAAATTGACCTAAAATTTTAGAAAAGGACATTTAATATTTCTGAAAATTATAAGTTACCGGTGTAAAGTAGAAGATCAAAGCTGATTTATCTCATAAACTGTCTGCTCAATATGTTTAAAACATAGCAACATAATATTTCAAGCTTGATTATCACAACAGAATCACAATAATAATAAAACACAAGTTTCTAGCACTGATAATTGCTGGATCAAAATCTGGAATCAAAGAGCTTCAGTTTCTTAAATCAGTATCAAGACTCTATCAAAAAAATAAAACTTTATCGCGTTAAATTTATTAAATGTTTCTCATTATGCTATTGATTCACCAGGTAAAGATATAACAAATAAAAACATATGCTCAGAAATCAAGCAGTAATCTTGTCCAACATTCTCAAAAATCAAAAGGAAAAATATTTAATAGCTAAGCAGGAATGCTGATATCATTCATTGTGCTCGGCGGCATTCTAGAGGCATTCTCCCTGGTCGGTTTTTTCTCTTCTGCTGCTTTCGCCCATCCAAACGAACAGCTCAAGATTTCTGTGGCGATGAGCACTTATTCCTAATGTTCTGATCCTCTGCAGTTCTGAGATACTTTTCATTATCAGCGAGAGCAATTTCAGCAGGGTTTTGATTTAAAAGGCAAGGAGGATTGTTTTTTGGAATAATAGAGATAGGCAATACAGTTATGCTGTCTAATGACCTGGAAGCATTTTCACTCTGCAACGAATGCACCATTGAACTTGATGTACCAACAACTCCTCTTGAAACATTATTTCCAGGACCAGATTCTTGAGTGGTCCGCCAGAGGCCACTTGAAGACACAGATTGCTGCAAATTTCTTCCGCCAAGTTGCACAGGTGCATGAGATACTTGATCTGTAAATTAACATCCTGTTAGAATATCTTCCATTTACATGAAACAGTAAATGGACCGATCGCAGTTACAGGATGTAAAATTGCATATGAATTTGAAAGGAATTGAAGCTTACCATTTAAGTACGGAAAAGGTTGTTGTGAGCTATAACCAGCAGTATAACCACCATTGTGAATACTTTGGTTTCCATCCATGTAAATCCGCGGGTGATCAGAGAAAGATTTCTCTTGATGTTTGTTTGTGCCCACATTGAAAGCAGGAGTTAATGGAGTTGTTTGATCCACACGACCGAGTAACTGCAATGCTGGTATGGTCTCACTAGAATAAGGATTTGAAGACTCCATACCTTTGGTGATGTGCTCCGCGTTTCCTGGTATGGTTTCAGAATCCATACTCTTTATGTCACTGATAGTCCTCCCTTTCAGATTGAGGTATTTTTGTGGATTAGCATGTCCAAATAATATGCTCTGCCTAATGGGAAACCATCCAGGTTTTGATCCTTCACCATGTTGCAACCCCCATCTGATGGGAACAGGAGCAGAAACTTGC